GAGGTCTTTGAACTAAATGTGGGAAAATATTAAAAATACTTTAAGGAAAAGGAAGTATATTTGAGCAGAAAGTGTTTTTAAGTAATTAAAATATTTTGGATGTCTATTTTTTCATCCTTAGCTATACAATCTAACTACTGTCCATTCTTTTCAATTACATTATGATTAACCTGGAGGCTTACCTTAAATTAAAAATTTCAAACTGGTTTAATTTTTTCAAAGTTAATTATTCAGTTTGTGATCCAGGTTTTTCCATTTTTGATTTTTTCCTACGGATCTATTCTCATTATTAGTATTACCTCCAGCAGAGGGCAGACAAAAGATAGGTAAAGATATTAAAGTTAGTAACTTACGGGCTTCCAGAGAAGTGTTAGTAGCTTCACCAAAAGACCTTAAATAGCATTAATGCTGTATGATTCTCTGGACACTGTCTTGCCTGATTAAAATAACTTTGGCTAAAATGTAACAACGAGTTGGCAAATATAAATTCAAGAATTCATTCAACAATTCTGAGTCTCAGCCACATACCAGGCATATTTTAGGCTCTAGTGATTCAGTAGTAAACAAAACAAACAAAAGTTTCAATTGTTGCAGCACTTTCTTCTGTATCATTTTGGGAGATAGTGAAGCACATAAACAAATTGCATGTTTTTAAATACAGATAGGTAGTATACAGGGAATAAGGGGAAAACTATCAGAAGTTGGTGGGGCATGGTGGTGTGGCCTGAAATTCCAGCAACTCACAAGGCTGAGACAGGAGGATCCCAAACAACTTGGCAAAACCCTCAGCAACTTAGTGAGACCCTAAAACCCTATCTCAAAAAATGAAAAGGGTTGGGGATGTGGCTCAGTGGTAAAGCACCCCGGGTTTCAATCCCCAGTACTTAAAAAAAATAATTACAACAACTTGGAGGGTAACCAGAAAATTCATTTTTAAATTAATTAATCTAAGTAAAGCTGAATGGAGTGAGGAAATGAGCTATGCCTTAAAAGAGGAAAGCTTATCAGGCAAAGGTCCTAAGGCAGAAACTAACTTGCAGGAAGATAACGAGGTAGAGGCATAGCAATTCTGAAACTGTTCTGTGTGTCTGGTAGAACTGAACAAATGAATAAATTCATTATATTTGGGAGCTAGAGGTTTCACTCTGGGAGAAGAGAACTAAAAATGTGGAATGGAAGAAGGCACTAAAGAACACTCTGTTGTTGGACAGGATTCATGGCATCAACGTGAACTCAGAATTAAAATATATATACACATATGTGCTGCTGCAGATGTGCATGATGTTTCCTTGCTCTGTCTGGTGAAAGGGCCTAGGAGTAATGATGCCTAGAGTAGCAGCTAATACAGCTAATGTCCCTATCAAAAAGGCTGTTTCCAGAGCTGCAATAGGGGAATATGAGCCTTGAACATTTTGTGCCACAAAGTAAGACAGTTTTTTATTTTTATTTTTTTAAGTTGGGCATGTCAGAAGGAAATAGGTGTCTATCATGGCGGCACCTGCATGTAGTCCCAGCTACTCTGGAGGCTGAGTAGGGAGGATTGCTTAAGGCCAGGAGTCCAAGACCAGCCTGGGTAACGTAGTGAGACCCTGTCTCAAAACAGCAACCAAAGAATATAGGAATTAATTCAAAGGAGCTCCCAGAGGCCAGATCTAGGGAAATTTGAGCATCAAAATGAATAATGATGGTAATATATTATAACCCACTGAATAACATGAGAAAATCCATTCCGCATTTTTAGTTTTCTTCTCCCAGAGTAAAAACTCTAGCTCCCAAATGTAATGAATTTATTCATTTGCTCAATCCTATAAGACACACAAAATAGTTTCAGAATTGCTATACCTCTACCATACAAAAAACAGCCTCGTATGCGGAGTTCAAGATGTTTCTCAGTTCTTTTTGTCTTTAGATTAAGGGCATATAGTCAAAGTCCTATGTTCAAAACTTACTTGGATTCATTTTTTTTTCCCTTCTGAGAGTTCAGGCCATTCATTGAAATACAGGAGGCTCATTTTTTTAATTGTTTGTATTCAATTTTAAAGTGCACTCCCCCATCTTGTTAATTTTATTTTTGAACATGTAAAAGATAAACAAGTTTCCAAAATTCAAAATCACACAAGAAGGTATGTCATTCTTTTAAAATTTCACTTTATTCAGTTTCTACTCACTCTGATATAGGAAACTAACTGGTTTCTGGCTACCTTTCCTGTATCAATTTATTTTAAAAAACAATTTTTGATGACACAGGGGATTGAAACCAGGGATACTCTACCACTGAGTTACATCCCTGGCTCATTTTTAAAAATTTTCTAAATTAAAAAAAAAATTTAGTTGTAGATAGACACAATACCTTTATTTTATTTTATTTACTTTTATGCCGTGCTGAGGATCAAACCCAGTGCCTCACACATTCTAGGCAAGCACTCTATCCTTGACCCACAACCCCAGCCCCCTGTTTTTTAAAATTTGAGGTAGGGTCTCGCTCAATTCTTCCTTCTGGCCTCAAACTTGTGATCCTGCTTCTCTAAATTGCCCCAGCTAGCCTCAATGTTGCATCTTTCTGCGTTGGCCTCCCAAATCACTGGGATTATAGGTGTGGGCCACTATGCCCAGCTATCCTGTATTGACTTTTGTTCTGTCAAAGAATTAGGCAAGGTGAAGCAGAGAAATGAGGTAATCACTGAAGTAGAATACTTACTGTTTTTTTTTTTTAATTCACTATAAGATGGGAGACATGAGTATGTTTACATAGAACATAAATGATTCCACAGAAACTGAAAATTTGAAAATGAGAAGGAATAATCGCAAGGGTAAATATTTATCAAAATATCTCTTGGTTTAATTTGAAGGATATCAAAGGGTTCCCATATTCCAAAATAGGTATCACCCTGTTTGTAACCTGACAAATTAGTTATATCTCTGTGACAAGAGAATTCAGATTAAAATGGGATCATTATTTTGGAAGGATAAGTAAGTCATAATTACCTATTAATGTCAGTAAGATACATTCCAACAAGAAGGAGGTTCTGAACTTTAAACAAGATATTTAACAGGAGTAGAGTGACAGAATGGTTGATCTATAGAGTGACATGGATGAATAGTACAAATCATGCTGGAAAGACCAACTCGCAGCTCTGGTATATCTTGGAAATGTTATGCATATGCTAATGAGTAATTGTGGATCATTCCTCTTGCCTCGGCACTAAGTTAATGTGACACAGAGGAAAGAACATGAACTTCAGATCCTGCCTTGAACCCCAGTTGAGTTAAACAGTGACCACTGGAAAGCTCCTTAACATCTTGCAGACAGTTTCCTTGCCTGTATTAGTAGATAATGTCTCCTTTTCCAAGTTATTGAAATATAAATAAAGTAAAGCACTGTCACTGGCCCAAGATAGATGATTAGTAAGCAACTTCTATAATAAATGCAGATTAAATTAGTCAGCAAGGTAAATAAACTATAACAGCCATCTGACTTCTATAACATGCCTGAAAGAAATTAGAAATCACACCGCCTCAGGCAGTATTTGATACAGGCAGAAAAATGTCCAACACTTAGTTCCAATTTTTAATTTTGAAATTTTCCCAGAGTCTATTTTTAAAGTGTAAAAATATGTGTTGACATACTTAAGCATCAATTATTTTAAAAAAATTTACAGGTTAACAAAGTCCAATAACTTTGAATAACTTCCTATACTGTGTGTGTGTGTGTGTTTACAGAGAGATAACCTAAATGTATCACAACTATACTGGTTAGGTTTGTAAACTTAAAATGTGTATTCACAGGTTGACGATCTTTATAAAACATTTTAAAGGCTTATATTTGTTTCAAGTTCATCTACAAACCAAAATGCAACATGAAAAATATTGAATGATCCTTAACCAAATACTGAAATATGCAATAAGCTTTCAAAGCCTTGAAGCACCGATAAACCAAAACTCCACGCTAATGACTATTAAAATGCGCAGACTTAAGCGTACAATTTTAAATGTATATAATTTACCACTAGAAATTACTTCCCTTTTATCTTGTGTAAGCAGTGTAGATGTACTTAAAGGTCACAATCTTAGTTTGCAACAATGAGATGTCAGAGAGTCAACAATTAAATTCCAATGTCTTAAGAAAACTTCCTGGTAGGGTGCTAATCCATACTCCTGGCTATTCTGTCAGTGGCTGAAGAGAAAGATACCCATCCTTTACTGAAAGAGAAAGAGAAAGAGTGGGAGAAAAGGGTAGAGGCATAGATGCAAAATAAACAAACCATGCTTCTATAAACAATAAAAGCCTGGGTTTAACTTCTGGAAATCCAATCTTCCCTTATTAAATAGCAATAAATGTCAAAGTCTAAGGCAATCCTTTGTGCTTTGAAGAAGAAAAAAATGTGGAGAGAAAAGGAAAAACACTTTCTCGTTGTACAGAACTTGAGAATATTCAAAATCCATTAGTCTGCCCCCCCAAAAAAAAATAACACTGGACATTATATCATTTTAAAAATAAATTTGACACGAAACTACTGGATTGATTTTGGCTCTTAGTAGAGAACTTTTGTGAGCTTTTCCACTGCTCTCCAGCCAATAACACTCCTGGGCAGCCCGGGATAATTGCTGTCTTCGAGGCAAACAGGGGCTTGCTAAGTCCCTAGGAGGAGGCCTCAAGACGTAGAGAGGACCCTGGGGGTGTCTCCCTGAGCGAGCTGTCGAAGCAGCCCCCAAAGTGCCCAAGACAGTGGCGGAGTGGCCGTTCCCTGCGCGGTAGCGGAGCGCACTCAGGGCGCACTCGCCCCGTCCCTCTCCCGCTGTGTCGGCCACCGGAGGGCCCCGTCTGGGAGTCAGGAGGAACCCAGCCCAGCCCAGCCCCGCGCTGCGCCGCCACCCGGGCCGGTTCCGTGACGGCGGTTCCGTGAACGGCGCTCCCGCGGCGCCTCACATCCCCTGCGGAAAGTCCGGAGTCCCCTAGCAAGGCGCACCGACGAGTAGCAGCTGGCGCTCTCGACACCTACCTGGAGGGAGCTTCGGCCCGCGTCGCCCTGGCGCTGGCCGGGTCCTTTCTGCGCTCTGCTGGCCCTCGAGCGCGGAGCCGGCGTGCAGAGCACAGCGCACCGCCAAGCCCAGAGCCACCGACCACACCCAGCCACTACGCCCAGCAGCCAACTCCGCGGCGCGGCCCGGGGCGGGGACGTGGCGCGAGGCTCGAGGCACGAGGCGCGCTGGGGGCGGGCGGAGGCGCGCTACGGGCGCGCGCGGATCCTGGAGCGCGCGGGACCCGAGCAGGGGTCGCAGGGAGCGGGCGCCGCCCGCAGCTTCTGCTTCCTATTTTCTTTCTCGTTTCCTGCTAGAAGGAGAAGAAAAACATTAATTCCACGGCAGTTTCGTTTTCTTGGTGCGGCGCCTGGATGTCGGAGCACTCAGTAGAGTAGAGCCCGTCTAAGTACTGTGGTCACTTTCCTTCCTGACACTACGGGCGTCGGTTTGCTCACGGATTGAGCGAGACGACCCCCAGGTCCTGTTTAGGTTTAACATTCTGGAATTCTAAATTGTGGGAAAGTGAAGCCCGGAGTCATACCCAATTGCTTTGCAGTCCCAGTCCTCCCATCACTAGTTGTGTGACAGCCTATATCCTCTCGGAGTCATAAGTTTTGTCACTGGCAAAATAAGGACAGTGATACCTGCCTCATAAAGGTGCTGAAAAATATTACCTGACACATTTGCACGCAACGTGCCTCTAAATAAACGATCAATTCTTGGAAGTTATTGTTACTATTGTCACTGACAAAACCGGAAGGCCTTCCATTTAACCCTGCCAAGCCCCTCTTGTCTGTGTGAGTTAAACACCACACGCATCTCAATCGACTTTTTCTTTTTTTTTTTTTTTTTTTTTTTTGCGCAATTCTCTGGGTGTTTTATGTTGAAAATGTCATAAAATAAATGCATCTATCCAAATTGCTTCCTCTGAAGTCAGTACCGCCTGGGAGCATTTTTCCTTTCCCCACCCCCATCTTTCTTTTGAGTTAATTCCAGTTTGACAGACTGTTGCTATAGCATTCCTTCTCTGACGTCAAACAATTTAAAGGAACAGCCCTGGGTAACGAAAACTGCAGAGGAGTTCTTTGTGGAGTTTCTATGCTGAAGAAAGGTTTGAACAGTATCATAAGAGAACTTTTACACCCCCGCAGCCTTCCATTCTCTCATCTTCAGCTGCTTCCCACTATCACCTGGAATAAATCTACCGGTACCTTAAAAGAGATTGTGCCAAGATAAACACACCCTGATTGCAGCTGTGGTGAAAATGTGACCATTTTGTATAAAAGCCAGACCATGATAAAACATGGAAATAGTCGTGTACTAGGAAGATGGAATTATGGATGTTTTTTTCTCTCAAATTTTCATTTTTCATAATGGTGGGTGCATTTTTTTTTTCATTAAGAAGAAAAGGGATAAATACCAAATCTTCTACTTATCAGTGTCAGAAAAGTTGGTTGGGACCTGACCAGTCTGCAGCTGCAGCTGTTTGTGTGCTTTAGTGATTAAGTCCTGAGCTTTATCATTGTTTTTAGGAAGAAGTGAAGGAGTAGGGTAGTTAAAGGTTGTCTACTATGTATGAGACTCTCTGCTTTCTTATTATCCTACTTAATTCTTATAATGACCTATATGCATTTTATCCCTATTTTACAGATGAGCAAAATGAAGCTTGGTGAGATTAAGTAATTCACTTGAGGTCACACAGGGAGTGGCAGAGATCTTACCTGGCATCTGAGTGGACCAATTCCAAAGCCTATTTTCGTTCTTTTGATTCTTTTCTGTCTTGTTCCAGTGCTCTGGCATCTACCAGATACTATAGGACTTTTAGAAGTGGTTGGTTTAAGATTATATATTGAAATGCAAGTTGCTAGTATAAGGAAAACCCAGTTGAAAGCACTGAGGTATGGTACTGTAGAAAATATCAGGGAAAGTATAAACCAACAACTCCCAAACACAGCATGCAAAACCTGAAAAGATATAACAAGCATGTCTCTAATCCTTGAAGATTTGTGAATAAATGATGATGTTCACCTTTCTAAAAATTTGATGTGGACACAGAAATTTCCAGAAGAATAAAGTTCAAGTATGAAAAAGGAGAATTTAATTGTGAGGTGAACTAATCCATCTCTAAGCACATTATATTTCTGTTTTGCCACATTCACTGCATATTTTTCTGAAAAGAACACTTGTTAAGAATGCCTCAGTGGTAGCACACTTGCCTGGCATGTGTGAGGCACTGGGTTTGATTCTCAGCACTGCGTATAAATAAATAGAGGTCTATCAACAACTAAAAAAAAAATAAACAAATAAATAAAAAAAGAATAAGCCTATACTGTGAATCTGAAAGTGGATCTGATTAAAGAATTTCATAACCAGAAACATTTCCTAAGAGCACAGTAATGTATCTAAGTGACCCAGCAATTCATAATTTTTTCAATGATAGTGAGATCTATGTATAAAGAAAGAGAAAGAAGCATACTGTTAATATTTTTATTAATATTTTTGATGCCCGATGCCTACGTAGACCATTGTAATGACATATCATACGTCTAAGGATTAAGTCCATTGATCTTCTGTTTGTATATCACTGGCATATCTGTACTGGCCTCTGGCCATGTCTAACTCACTAGGCTCATGTTCTCAAATCCTACTTTGTTAACACAATGATGGGGTTCCTGTTAGAGAACCTTTGAATACAAAAGCCCTGTTTCATCCTTGTATTCCCCATAGTGTCTAACAAAATAGCTTGCATTTACCAGGTATTTAGTGAACAAACAAATGAATGACGACACTTGGTTACTTGTTTTACTCAAATAAATGTCATATCTAATCCCACCCCTGTACCCTTCAAAATCGCAGCAGGAGGAAAGTGATCATTGTTTTTGGAGGAGTTTTATAACAGTTACATACTCAGGATGTTTGGATCCTCTATGATCAAGTTCAAAGAAGCTCCACTCTTGGTCCTAATTGGATGAACATGAATCCAGTTCTCAGATACACTATAATCTACAGTGCCCATATTCAACCTTTAGATCATACCTTAGAAATGGGTCTATTTTTTTTTTTTTTCTGATTTTACCTTATTTTCAGATAATGACAATGCACTATAAAGAAGAAGAATCTTGCCTGGGCATGGTGGTTGGTGCCTATTATCCTAGTGATTCAGGAGGCTGAGGCAGAAGGATCACAAGTTCAAAGCCAGCTTCAGCAACTTAGTGAGGCCCTAAGCAACTTAGGGAGACCCTGTCTCAAAATAAAATGTAAAAAGTGCTGGGGATGTAGCTCAGCGGTTAAGCGCCCCTGGGTTCCATTCTTGGTACAAAAAAAAAGGCACTTCAAAGTGGACACTTTTTTTCAGTCCTGCTGTGTTGTATGCATTCCAATTCCACCATATACCATACTGAGGCCAAATTTTATACTTGCAACATTTTAACTAAAATAACAGGTTTTCCTTCAACTACAACAAAATAAATTTTAAAATATTCATAAAAGCCTAATAAGATCTATAAGCATGGCCTGGGGCTGTAGCTCAGTGGAAGAGCACTTGCTTCGCATGTGTGAGGCACTGGGTTCGATCCTCAGCACCACATAAAAATAAATGAATAAAATAAAGGTACCATGTCCATCTACAACTGAAAATAAAAAAATAAAAATGTCGACAAGCAGAGTTCCCCAAAGATGTGAGAAGCAATGCCTTAGTAGATTCTGTCAGAAGTAAGTTTATGTCATTTCAGACTCACATCCTTGATACGGACCAGTCATGTCTGAAGCCTGCTTTCCTGCTCACACACATTGCATTTCTGTACCAACCTTTTTACAGCCTATATTTTAAGCCCACCTTGTTGTACTCCTCTGACACTCATGATTCAAATTAGTGGTAATTCTTGTTTTTTTTTTTTTTTTGCTCAGATTCTCAGCCATGGCAATTTGGAATCTATCACCCATATACATCACAGTGACCTTAGGAAAGTGCTATACTTAGCTAATGATGTCTGTTACAAGCATGGGAGAGGAAAATAGAAGAGTATATCTGCAGCTCTACGTTCTCTATGTTAGGTCCCCAGAATCTGTTATTGGGAAGGAACATGACAAAGTGGAGGAAATACTAAACTTCAAGTCAAAGATCTGATTTAAAGCTTTGGCTCCACTATTCAATATCTGTGTGATCTTGAGACGATCACAAACTGCCTGCATTCTGTTTTATCCAATTATATCAAGTGAGGATATCAAATGCCAACACAACAGTACTGGTGCCATTGCTCAGTACTATGCCCAAAAGTTAACTTCACTAATCAATCATGTACTCTTTCCCTCTAAGCCTCATCCTATCCCAGAAATTCTTCTGAACACCTTTTAGAAAGGTCCAGTGATTCATTTGTATTGATAAGTGAGTAAAAATATCATATTAGTTCTCTTTTGTTCTGAATAAGCTACTCAAAATTTAGTAATTAGGCCTCAAACATACTGGGCCCAACAGCAATCACTTATTTTGCTCATAAATATCTGTGTGAGTTTGACAGCTTGGTTCTTCTCTGCTCTATGTAATACCAACTAGATTGACCATATTCAAGATGGCACTCTCACATGGCTGGCAAGGTGGTGCACCCTATTGGCTGGAAGATGACCCAGGTATGTGGGCAGAGATCTCAGTTCCTTTTCACATAGGTCTTTCCATGGATTATTTTAAGTTCCTCACAATACAGTGGCTGGATTCTAAGAGCAAATGTTCCAAGAGAACAAGGAGGAAGTGCATAGCATTTTTATGACTTGGCCTTAATAATCACAGAGAAATTGCTTTCCATATTCTCTTGGGCTAGGTAGTCACAGATACAAGTGATAGGGACATATTCTTCATGAAAGAGTTTCAGATTCCTAGAAAAGCAAGAAGGCTGGCACATATTGTTGTGGCCATCTTCAGAAATACAAGCTGCTGTAATCACATTCACCAACTCTGGATTAATCTATGAGAATCTAAGATTCTATCATTTCTTTCCTTCCTCCCACGTTGACTTTATTTATGCTAATATGTTCTGTCAGTTAGATATTTCAAATAATGGAAGATATCTTGCTTTCCTTGATATTTGATTTTTTGAGTGCTTTCTTAATTTTTGTTTTTAAATTATACTGTAAAATTGATTTATCTTCCTTTTGGTGTACAGTTCTACGATTTTAAACATATCTACAGATTTGTGTACTACCACTACAAT